ATTATTCATTTTTACGTAAAAATTTAGTAGGTTCTGTTGGATCACGCGAAGATTTATGTTTTCTCAGAAATAGCCATTATATAGAACAATGAAGGTACCTGAAGAAATTGCTAAAAAAACTTAGTTGAAAAGTAAGAATTATAATATTGATAAAAGTAATAACTGCATTCCTTAAATATTCTAATATTTAAGTTTAAAATTCAATTTTGTTTAAATCGAATAAAATTTTAATCAGATTGAAATAAAAATATATAAATTTATTATTAATCTTTCGAATATAATGTATACAAGAAAATGCGTAATATCTGGTACTAATTTTATTCTCATTATAAAATAGTATTTTATGTATTTAAATATATATGATATGAGAATTACATAAATAATTAGACGATAATTTTAATAATGTGTCTTTGTTATCACCTTTTACACTCACGATTATTTGATCTGTGGTAATTATGATTATTATATGAGAAAATTTAAGTTCCCTCATTAGCATTAATTCGCTTAATAAGCTTTTGAAAAGTAATCATCTATACTTGTTGAAATTCTTTTCATTGTTTTATGAAGTAAATGAAGATATATTAAAAGTAAATGAGAAGAAATTGTAATTTGAAAATTATAGAAAATCGAAAAGAAATCTTTACTTTTACTTTTGCTTGTTTGCTTTCAGACATTTGTAAAGTGGAACGATAAAATAAAATTAAAAATGTATTAACGTATAAGTATATGTATATTCTATTATAAATGATTATAATAATTATAAGAATTATATTTTAATATGTATAATATTAAATAGACACAAAGTCAGGATTTAATTCAATCCTTCGTCATGGAAAATCTTATAATTTTTTTTGTAGTTTGAATTATTTCCTAATCATGTTTAGTTTTTTTGACTTACAGTTTTTGCATTTTCCTAGACAGAAATTCTAGAGAACAATCCACGATGAGTCACGTTTAATTTCTTGACGTCGATTTCTCTTCTCTCTCACTTCTCTTCCATTAATCTCTTCTTATTAATTATCCGCAAAAATATTTTATAATAATATTTAAGAAAAAGGTAGTTAAAGATGAGATGAGGTAAAAAACAAAATTTTGTTGCCATACAATAGATGAGATGAATTCTAAATTAAAAATTTAAACAATAATTACTTTCATTTACTCAGATTAATTTTACTAACTTTTCTAATTGTCTCGAAACAGTTATGTTCATAATCGATCACTACTTTCTCCGAAGAAACGAGTCTTCAGGTTCAATCTGATTTAGCCTCCAATTTCAATCAGCCGCCGTTAATATGGCGCTAAGCGATCAGGATGAAAATACTTGTATTTGAAATACATTTAACAATGAAAACCGAGATCAAATTTAATATGATAAATCTCAACAATTCGCTACCGTCAACAAATAATGTAAAACGTAAATAAATGCATCGTTTTTCTTGATAAAACGTTATATTGAAACTTTACATTTGAATGATCATAAATTGAGTTTTTCTCTCGTTTTTTATTACAGTTCGTCAAAATTAGTAAAAGAGTTCCTGTTAAATATTTTAAAGGAAATTCGTTTAATCCTCCCGCTTTCATGTGCGCGTGCATACGCATGTAGAAAATACATTATTCCCGAATTCTGCTTATCGTCACAACAATTGTAATATTCATTAAGATTGTAAGATTATTTATGAAAACCTCCATCGTGCATATAATCAGAGGGTTGGCTTATTTCGATTAATGTCGAATGCAGCGCGCGTTTTGGGACCACAATATTAACCATTGTAAATCAAATTTTCCTCTTTACCAATGCAACCCGAATATAATTATATGATTTTAGAATATCCGTTCTATTTTACTACTTATTTATCAAATCGTGCTTTATTAGACATCAAATATATATCCGAAAATTATTTTTAATTTATATGTATATTAATTCGAAATAAAATTAAGATTAATAAATAAGTAAAAATAAAAAAAAAATCTAAAATACTAACACTCAATTTCAAATTAATTAAAGAATTTAATATCTATTATAAAAGATACTGAATGCGTAGGATGTTCTCTCTGTATAAGAGAGAGCGCAGGCAGTTCGTCGGATAACTTGCAAGAAATGTCAAAAGTCTACCAGGGTACTCGTTAGATTCATTTTCCACGAGACTCATGCTTGCAAAGCGCAAGATGCAAGCAGGGAAGCGCGGGTATCTTTCACATAGCGTCCTTACGTCCCATTCGAAAATAATACGGCGCCTCTCGTTAAATTACCCGCCCACGCTCGTTTCGCGTCGTCCGCGCGTAATGCGTCACCCCCTTTCCGCCTCTCCACCCCCCGAACTTACTCTCTCTCTCTTTCTCTCTTTCTCTCTCTCTTTCTGTGCCCTCCCCGACGTAATGTACATAAATACATTTAATCTCGCGCTCCTGCTGCCCTCCTGATATTTTTCGAGAGATCGATCGAGCCGCGCGGTCCCACATTTTCCCTGC